TATATATTTTTAGTTGTCCAGCTAATTTCTTTCTATTTTTAGTAGAGACAGGGTCTCGCTCTTGCTCAGGCTGGTCTCAAACTCCTGAGCTCAAAAGATCCGCCCGCCTCGGCCTCCCAGTATGCTAGGATTACAGGCTTGAGCCACCATTCCTGGCCCAATGTCTTTAACTTAAGCCCACCATACCAAAATCTGCATAGCCGCTGTTGACCACAAGCTCTTTTCCTTTCTCTTGAACTTTGGTACTCCCCATAGTCCCTTCTTATGAAAGTACCAAATTCCATCACAGAGCAGACCTCCACACTGCAGAATGCAGTAGACACTTCTTAGACTTCATCTTACTTGACCTTTTGGCAGCATTTGACACAGTTCATTCCTCCCTCTTCCTTGATAGATGTACTCCTTAGTCTTTAGAGACTGCTTTCTTTGTATTCAGTACATGTTCTCCAGGACCTTTCTCACTTTCCACACCTCTGAGCATTGAAGTGTCCAGGCCTCAGTTTTTGGTCTTTTTTCCCTACACACATTTACTTCCTAGGAAATCCCACCTAGGCTCATGTCTTTAAACATTTTTTTTAAGCTGTTGAATCAAAATATTGTGTATCTACTCCTACCCATTCCACAGTACTCCAGTCACGTATATCCAGCTGCCTAGTTGCTTTCTGTACTTGAGATGTCTAATAGGCATCTCAAACTTCAGCAATATGGAGTGCTGCCCAGTTGAAATATAATGCTAGCTAATTTATAATTTTCTGGTAGCCAAATTTTAAAAATGTATAAAGAAACATGATATTAATTTTAATAATGTAACTCCATCTATCCAAAATGTTATTTTAGCATGTAACCAATGTGAAAATCATTAATGAAATATTTTATGTTTTTCCTACTAAGTTTTAGAAATCTGGTGTGTGTTTTACACTTAGAGCTTTTACACTTAACACTTTTTTTTTTTTTTACACTTAGGTCAATTCTGACCAGCTGCATTTCTAGTGCTTCATAGTCGTGTGTGGGCATATGTGGACAGTACAGGTTTGGACCTTCTCATTTCTTAGTCCTTCTTGTGTGTTTCCTATTGAATTGTGATTCCATTTCCAGCAGTTTCTCATAATTGTTGGATCCTGTCTGAGAAGGGAGCTCTGAGGTGTCAGTTTGGAGAGTTCACCTGGCTATGCTGCTCCAGTACCTTTAGTGCCTCTTAAGCTGGGCCTCTGACACTTGCCTGGTATTAAAGAAGGGAAAAATCCTCCCAGTTTCAGCTGCAATTTCCAGTGAGTTGGCTAGTTTGTGGTTCTCCTATTATCAAGTTAGTCAGATGCTGTGCTGTTACCTCTTTTTCCTCCTGTACACACTTGATACCCTGTAGGTAATGTGGCTGTTGGTGGTTTGCCCTTATCCACTTAAATTAGGAGGTTGGAGTGATATCCGGTCACCTAGATTTGTTTAAAATATTACCCATGCATCTTACTGTTACTCTCTAGTTGCTCCGTTTTTACGTGGGTGTTTGAAGGGATTGAAGAACTGTATAGCCACTGCTGTCACCATCTTCCCAGAATCTCTACCACCAACTGTCCTTACTCCTTGAAAAATGTGCCACCTCCTCCTTATATGTTTTCCCAGTGTCTGCTGACAACAATGTGTATCCTTTAGTAGTTTTCTAAAGAACACAGTGGGATCCATCATTTGTACTAATGGAGTAAAATGGAAAAAGAGAATTAAAATAGGAAATGAGAACAAAAACTTATTGAGTGTGCCACTAAAAATCTTTAGAACTAAAGAAAATATTTTTGAGAGCACATATTTTGAAAGCTCTCACTTCGTTATATTTCTTTTTCTTGAATAAATCTGTAGATATCCAAAAACTAAGACAAGAAGTGGACAAGTTTAATGCAGTCTTACAACCTCGTAGCATTGGAGGGCTTATGTTTATTCCCATTTCACAGATATGTAAATTGAGGCTCAGAGCAATTTTGTGATTTTCAAAATCTCATAGCTAGTAGAGCTTAGTTAGCTTCAGAGTCAGAATTCCTGGGTTTGAATTCTGGTTTTCCCATTGACTCACTGTGTGATCCTGAACAAGTTAATTAACCTAGGATCCTAAGTTTCCTCATTTGTCAGTTTTGCACACTAAGAGTGCATGTCTCCTAGATTGTGGTAAGGATTAAAATGGATGGTGCATGTTAAGTGCTTCCAACCATATTTGGCACATAGTGAGTGCCTGGTAAAGATGGTTCTTACTCTGGTTAGGATTATGATCACATACCCAGATATTTCTGACTGCAATAGCAAGACTCTAAACACTTTACTGATCTTTCCAAAATAACAACATTTTAAAACCAAATTGGATGTCTCAAAAATGGGAAGGAAATTCTTTATTGTACTTAGTACTTTAAAATATGAAGGCATTTCCACAGGCCATTGAGCAACATTTTTACCAATACCAGAGGCCACTGCACAAAAATGTAAAAAACAAAGGATTGAGCCTCAAAGGTACAAACCCTAGGAATTTAACAAATTTGACACTTGAGATAGTTATGTGAATGCTTCTGAGAGCAGTAGTTTCCCTCCAGGCATTATTTGCTTCTTAACTCATTTGAAATACTCATTTTAATGGATGAATGGAATATACCCGGGATTAACATTATCGACTGCAAGTGCCTTTATCCATTACCTGGCATGCAGATATAACAGGTAAAAATCATCTTATGATTATATGTGTTAAGTACTGTTTTAATGTTCATATATACACCAACTCATTTAATCTGCAAAACAACTTTAGGAAGTAGATTGAGCCCATTTTATAGATGAGGATATTGAGGAACAGAGGTTACATAAGATATAATATGAAGGAAAGACTCATTGAGTTGTGGACTCTGTCATGATCCTTTGCAAGGTTATAAACTTCCTTTGTGAAACGAACTACGTGATATGCCTCTGCACAGAGTACTACTATTTTGCCAAGTGTGAAAGTGATGGTTTAGACATGTTCATCTATTGCTATTTATTATAGGGAATGGTGTTGTTTTTGTATTGTGTAAAATTACTCATCAACGCAAACTTCATATGGAAGGTGAAAAATTCCAGCCCAACCACATTAATACAAAGTCACATGTGAAAAAGATCATAGCAAGAGCTTGTAACTTATGATGTAGAAAAGATTGATCTACGTAGAGGTTGGAGCAGGTCTAGAAAATAACAGCAACATTACAGGCCTCTTCTTGGGAATTTGTGTGCCCTATCTGTAGCTTCCCTTTGTGTCCCTGTGTCTAAATGGTGCCCAATCCCCAGAAACAGCTGTGAACTGCACCACTCACAGCTGGTCACAGCTTTCACCCCAGGGTTCCTCTGTGGGGAGGAACCAGCAAATACCCACAAGACCTTCAGCTGTCTTTCCCTTGAAGTTGCCACGATCAGCTGCCATACTGTACAGGGCTGGTTTCATGTGCATATGACCTGTGCAGCTACACAGGCCTCTGCTTGCTTTAATTTTATGTTGTTGCTATCTTGAAATTCTTAAGGATTTTTGGGTCTTTTTAATATGGTTTTTATTTCAGCATATTACGGGGTACAAATGCTTAGGTTATGTATCTTGCCTTTCCCCACCCGAGTCAGAGCTTCAAGCATGTCCATCCCCCAGACGGTGTGCATCACACCCATTAGGTGTGTATATACCCCTCCTC